GGTGGAGTAAAGTGTGTAGACCCAAAAAACATGGTGGATTGGGGATAAAGGATCTTAGGATGTTTAATGTGGCTTTACTAGGCAAATGGTGGGGATTGGGAACTTGTATCTTTTAAGTTTTATGGTAGCAGGAGAATTGAGCGATGAGAGGTAGAGAGAGAGCAAGAGCGTTTAGCAACGGGGCATGCGGACGACGGACAGCATGGAGTTGGGAGCCATTTGGAAACCAAAGAAGGAATAGAGATGGGCGGATTGATGGTCCATTGGACAGAGAACCAAGAAAGAAGCAGGACATATGGGGGTGTGATAGAAGGGTGTTTAATCAAGCTACCGTATTTTTCTTCACAAACTTCCCGGACGACTGGAGTCATGAAAGTATGTGGCTCACCTTCCGGAAATTTGGAAGAGTCTTGGCTATTTATTGTCCACCAAGGAAATCTAAATTAGGAAGAAGATTTGGGTTTGTAAGATTCTTAGAAGTTAAGAATGAGGTGGAATTGGAACGACAGTTGGATCAAATCAGAGTAGGGATGTCCAAACTCTGGGTTAACAGACCAAGGTTCAGGAAAGAGGAGGGGAGAAACAGAGCAGATTCTAAACCAGTTGTGATGAATCTTGTCAAACCAGGGAGGTCATTTGCAGAGGTTGTTAAAGGGAACCATGGGTTGGAAGTTAACAAAGGAAGACATCTTCAGCAAGTTTCAAGTGCTAGAGACTGTCAAAATAAGCAACAGAAGAGTAACTCGCCCAAATCACAAACGCAGGTATGGATCATGAAAAATAATGTTCGTGCAAGTGCTGGCCTAGAGTTTAATGTGAAAGAGGAGGACCTCCTATGGCTGGAAGGGTGTTATGTTGGAATTGCACATTCGGTTAACATTATCCTGACGCTACAGCAAAAGTTCTTCATGGAAGGTTACTTTTCGTGCAAAGTAAGACCTATGGGGGGTCGCTTGGTCTTATTGGAAAGGGGTGATAAAGATGAGATAAAGGACTTAGTAGAAACAACCCCGGAATGGTTGGGGCAGTGGTTTGAGGAGGTTAAACCCTGGGCACCATCAACGGTTGCTAAAGAAAGGTTCGTGTGGATTCGATGCCAGGGAGTCCCGATTCATGCCTGGGGGCCTGAGTTTTTCTCATCAATTGGGGCTGTATGGGGAAAGGTTATTTCTTTAGATGATAGCACCAGTAAGAAGATCAGATTTGACATCGGGAGATTTCTAATCTCCACGCCCATTATGGAGTTCATCTCTAAATCCATGAACATCACAGTTAATGGTATGCCATATTCTGTCAAAGTAATGGAGGAAGAGGCAACCAACGGCATTTTCTCCATGAAGTCTGATCATGTGTTCAGGGAATTAAGTGCTTCAAACGATCATAGCTCAGAATCATGGTCCCTAAATAGCAACGATGAAGACGACATTGCTGAATCTATTCATGGCGGAGGAGACTCTAGGGATTATGGGAGAAGAGCAGCAGATAGGGCTGATGATGATGACATGGCTAAGGCTGATGACGTGGGAGAAGACCATGGAAGAAGGCAAGAAGAGAGTTGGAGGGAGAGCCATAACGTGGAGACAACGGCTAGAAGAAAGAAATTTGAATTTGAAGATGATGCTGACAGAATGATGAGTGCTGATGGTTCCAATATACAGGCTTATGAGTATATTGAGGAAAGTATGGGGAAATCTCAAAAGTTTCCTATCAGCAAGCTGGAAGAGACGGCTGAGGAGGTAGGCTATGTGCCTGATAGCCTGAGCATGCATTTAATGCAGAGACAGGGGCAGAATTCAAATTGTGAGAATGGGAACTTGATTGGGCCAAATTATCCGAACCGGGCCATTGAGGAAATGAGGGCCAAGGGTTGCGGGCTGGAGTCTCAAGCATGTGTGAGAGATGAGGAGAATTGGGCCCCCTATTTGGGCCCCAATAGGGGGAATAAATCTTATGAAGATGAAGATTACGTGGAGATAAGTCAAACGGAGAAGGATAAGCTTGAGGAGGATGAGGTGGATCGGAGAAGTAGGGGTAGCGTGATGTCTGAGGAGGATGAGGTGAATAGGAGAAGTAGGGGCAGCTGGATACCCGAGGAAGATGAGGCGAAGCAAACAAGCAGGGGTAGCTTGGTGCATGAGGAGGATGAGGCGAATCGGAGAAATTGGGATAGCTTGATAAACGAGGAGGATGAGGAGAATCGGAGATGCAGGGGGAGCTGGAGATCCGAGGAGGAAGAGGCGAATCGGACAAGCAAAGGCAGCTTGATGCATGTGGAGGGTGAGGCGAATCCGAGATTCGGGGGTAGCGTGATGTTCGAAAAGGATGAGGGGAATCAGAGAAGCAGGGGCAGCTTGATGTCAGACGAGGATGAGGTGGATAACGTGAATCAAAGAAGCAAGGGTTGCTTGAGCCGGTTAGAAGATCTTAGTGAAGAAAAATCCTTTTGGCAGGGATTCGAAAGTGAATCAGGGCATTTGAAAGCTTGGATGGGTAGAAAAGAGAGGAAAATCAAGAAGCAGAAGAAGAAGAGAACGAGGACATGTTCTTCTGTGTATAAAAATTCCAGTTATGTGGCTCAACCAAGGACAGAGAAGATGCAGAGAAGACAGAAAAAGCACCGCGATCTGGAGGAGAAGACTCCGTCGTTCTGTCCAGGCTCACAAAATCAGGTTGCTGGTGACTCAATAGCAGACAGTGGCATAGAAAACAGAAACAAATGCCTGCGGATGGAGGGTAAAATCAACAAGGAAATGCAGATTTGGGGGTTTGCCAAAGAAATTGGGGTTGTGGATCGTGGAAATGTGGAAGAAATTCTGCAAAAGCTCGAGGCCATGGAGCAACGTGACAGAGAAAATTATAGAAGATCAAAGGCTAGTGAGGCAGATACTGGGGGAAACAATTGTGGTGTTTTAAAATGATCTTTATGTCAATTAATATAAGAGGTGTGGGTGGTCATGGGAAGAGAACATGGGTCAGAGAATTAGTGGTTCGGGAGAAGGTGGAGTTCTTATCAATTCAAGAATCCAAAACAAAGGTGGTGGATCATCAACTCTGTAGAGCTCTCTGGGGATCAGAGGACTTTGATTGGGTTGCTCAACCCTCAAAAGGTACGGCTGGAGGCTTGATATGTGTTTGGAATTCTGAATTATTGAAGAAAGATAGAATTATTGAAGGGGATAATTTTATTGGGGTTTTTGGATTTTGGGGGGCAGCTAGGATCCCTGTTTATATCATTAACATTTATTCCCCATGCGACCCTCCAAGGAAAAGAGCATTATGGGCTTCTCTCAAAAACCTTATTTCTGAAATTGGTGGGAACTGGTGTTTAATGGGGGATTTCAATGCAGTAAGGAATCAACAGGAAAGGAAGGGGGGGATGAGTATAAGGAGAAAAATGCTAGAGTTTGACGAATTCATTAATGAATGTGGCCTTGTTGATTTACCATTAATTCGCAGAAAATTCACCTGGTACCAACCTAATGGAGCCTCGATGAGTAGGCTAGATAGATTTATGCTCTCAGAAGAATGGTGTCAGAATTGGGAAAATGTCAAGCAATGGGGCTTAAATCGTTCACTCTCTGATCACTGCCCAATTGTACTCAAAAACCAAATTACAGATTGGAGCCCAAAACCATTTAGGTTCTTTGATGCATGGCTGGATCTACCTTAGTTTAAAGGTATTGTCAATGATATCTGGAAGTCTACTGTAGTAAATGGATGGAATGGGTATTGTCTGAAGGAGAAATTGAAGGAAACTAAAAAGGTGCTGAAAGTGTGGAGCAAGAATATGGCCTCAGAGATTGACTTAGGCATTCAAAAGAGCATTGATTCTATTGCCTCTATTGATAAAAAAGGTGAGGAGATGCCACTACCGCCAGAAGATATTGAAGCCAGAAGGACAAATTTCCTAGAGCTATGGAAAAATCAAAGGATGAAGGAAAGTATGTGGCGCCAAAAAGCTAGAAAGACATGGATTAGTGAGGGGGATGCCAATACTAAATTTTTTCATAGATGTGTGAAAGGAAGAAGAAGAAAGAATGATATATCAAGTATCCTGGTGGGAAATCAACGACTTGAAGAAGTCAACAGTATGAAAGATGGTGTGGCTAACTATTTTGAGACACTGTTTAAAGAAGATGTGTGGCAGTGCCCAGTCTTAGATGGGGTCGAATTCAAGAAGATCTCAGATGATGAGAGAGCAATGTTGGAAGCACCGTTTAGTGAGGAGGAAGTCAGACAAGCTGTGTGGAGTTGTGAAAGCTCGAAAGCTCCAGGACCCGATGGATTCAATTTCAAATTTGTCAAGGAGATGTGGGGAACTCTTAAGGAAGACGTGATGGGATATGTCTCTGATTTTCACAAGCATGGCAAACTGGTTAGAGGGATAAACAGCTCATTCATTGTATTGGTCCCGAAAGTCAACAGTCCACAAAAAATTGAAGAATTCAGACCAATTTCCCTAGTTGGTGTCATGTACAAATTGATTGCTAAATTGTTAGCACGTAGGTTGTCTTCTGTTATGAATGGGATTATTGGGGAGAATCAGATGGCTTTTGTCAGTGGAAGGCTATTAGTTGACAGTGTGGTCATTGCAAATGAGATTATTGATGAAGCCCAGAAAAGAAAGAAGAAAGGGTTTGTGTTTAAAGCTGACTTTGAAAAAGCTTATGATAAAGTCTGCTGGGAATTTCTGGATTATATGATGCTAAGAATGGGGTTTGGTCAAATATGGAAAAACTGGATTAATGAATGTTTGAAGACCGCAGAGGTATCAGTGCTACTAAATGGCAGCACCACCAAGCAGTTTAAGATGCAAAGAGGGCTCAGACAAGGTGATCCTCTTTCCCCTTTTTTATTTCTGATTGTGGCTGAAGGTCTTAATGGCATAATCTCATCAGCTGCGTCATTGGGGCTGTTTAATGGGATCGAAATTGGGCAATGTGGCATGAATGTAACCCATCTCCAGTTCGCAGACGACACAATTGTGTTTGGTAATGCTTCGGAAGAAAATATTTGGGCTGTTAAAAGTATTATGAGGATTTTTGAGATGGTTTTAGGGCTTAAGATTAATTTTGGGAAAAGTTTGCTTATGGGCATCAATGTTTTGGAAGAATGGATGACTAGGATGTCTTGTATTTTGAATTGTAAAAAAGGGAACTTTCCTTGCAAATACCTTGGCATGCCGATTGGGGGTAAACGCAGATGCATTGCCATGTGGAGACCCATGATTGAGTCCTTTAAGAAGAAACTTGCCAGCTGGAAAAACAGATTTATCTTTCTTGGTGGAAGGATCACGCTCCTTAACTCCGTGCTGTCTAGTCTCCCAGTGTTCGCGATGTCTGTTCACTTGCTGCCTAAAGGTTTGATTCTTATACTTGATAAAATTTGTAGAAATTTCCTTTGGGGGGGTGGAGCGAATAATAGGAAGATCAATTGGGTGTGTTGGGAGAATGTGTGTAGAAGTAAATTGGATGGTGGGTTAGGTGTGAAGGATCTTAGAAAGTTTAATTTAGCGTTGTTAGGCAAGTGGTGGAGTAGATTGGCAGAGGGAGAGGAAGGTCTTTTATATAAGGTTATTCGTGGAAAATATGGTAGTGGTGGAGGTAATTGGATGAATTGGATTGAAGAAAGGAACCAGAAGGGGTCATTATGGTGGAGGGATGTTTGCAGATTAGATTGTTCGTGCACAAATAGTGTTGGTTGGCTCCTAGATGGTTTTAAACTAAAATTGGGAGAGGGTAATTCTGTCAAATTTTGGGAGGATGTCTGGATTGGGGACGAGTCATTGGCTAATAAATTTCCCAGACTCTTTTTGAATTCTTTAGATAGGGAAAAGAGCATTGCTCAAATGGGATTTTGGAGCAATGGAAGCTGGAGTTGGTCATTAGAGTGGAGGAGGCCTAACTTTTCCTGGGAAGAACACTCGATGGCAGAGCTGCGGAGGATGTTGCAGACTATCCAACCTATTAAGGGACAAAAAGATCAATGGGAGTGGAGGCATGATCAGGGTATCTATTCAGCAAAATCGAGATATCAGGCTCTCTCTAACAGCCACCAACAGAGTAGGAACAACTTGCATAAAAGAGTTTGGTGCAGGTTAGTTCCCACAAAAATATGTGCCTTTGTTTGGAAAGTCCTACAAGATAGAATACCCTCCAAGGTAAATCTGTACAAGAGAGGGATTATCCCAGATCTCAATCTAGCTTCATGCATGTTGTGCAAGGAGAATATTGAAGATATAAATCATCTATTTCTTCATTGCAAGTTTGCATATACAGTGTGGTCCAAATGTCTTTAATGGTGGAGAATTTCATCTGTTAGAGCTGATAATTGCTATGCATCTTTTGAACAACAAATAGCCTCCTTTAAAAATGTTAACATCAGGGCAGGATGGGATGCAGTTTGGTGTGCAACAATCTGGTCTATTTGGATTGCTAGAAACGAAAGGGCTTTTAGAAACCATGAGCAAGAGGTCAATAGGATTTTTGAGCTGGTGCAACTGCGGACATTCCAATGGATCAAAATCAGAACAGTAGGGTACTCTTTTAATCTATGCAATTGGATGTTGGAACCTATGGAATGCTTGAAAGATAAAAGGGGAGGGAACTATAGTGCTGCAGGACGGGGGCTAGGGGTGGACCCATGAGAGCAGAAAGGTGACCCTTTTCTACTGTTCTTAGCTAAAGGATTAGCTACTACAAGACAGGATTCCAACTAAAATGAATTTGCTGACAAGAGGAATCATCAAGGACATTGGAGAAAGGTATACCTTCACTTTATCGGACTGGTTTCTTAATCCAGTTGTATGCTTTAAAGATTGCCGTAGGAAAAGAAGAGTACCTATAGAATAATCTGTAGGAGGAGAGGTTTGTTGATTTCTGGGAGTTTTAGTCTATAGTTTTTGCTTTGGAGGTCTGAATTGATGATTAATGAGGGCTCACAAAGGTTTTATTGAGCAATTATTGACTGTAGTAGTTTCAGCCATACTCAATGCATGTTCAATGTCTCGTGGGTCTGTTGGGGAGTTACGAGTGAGGGTTTGTTGATCTGTACAGGGAGATATGATGTATAGGCAAAAGAAGGTAGAATCCTCGTTACGGACATAGTGTCGACACTTTTATTGGGGGTTGACACATCGTATTATGTTTTGATTTTTATGGGTTTGGAGTACCCCTTGTATTTCGTTTATTAATAAATAACAATTTTGCTGTTCAAAAAAAAAAACTAGGCAAATGATGGGGAAGATTAGCTAATGAGAGGGAAGGACGACTTTGGAAGAGAGTGTTGAGGAAGAAATATGGTGGATTAGGGGGGAATTGGGTTAATTGGGT